TAGCAAGAGATTCACACAGTGACAGTCTTTTATGTCTGCTTGTGAGCACATGACTTAGTGCCTCACAAGAATACATGCAACTCCTAGCAGCTTGCAAGCTGAGATCTCTGGCTCTCACAGGTGCTGTTTGTCCATGTAAGGGGCTTGCAGTGAACCCTTACAAATCAAGTGCTTTGTGAAATAGGTTTTCAAATTAAGCTGGAATTAATATTATGTGTATAATATTTGCAGTGAGCTGTGATGCTGTCCAGATTGAAAAGCAGAGATTGGAAAATCTGAACTTTTGATGCAAAATTATTCTTGTTCTCTAATTAATCCATTTAATTCACCAGTATGCTAGTCAATTTAATTAGACTTAGTATGCTTTTAGATTTACTATTGCCAGAATTTTGTTTCTTCTTATTGCTGTAATCACTAATACTGACAATGCTACTAATACTTCTGACTTCTCTACTTTTTTTAATCTTTTGATCTTCAACCATTTCATTATTAATTCTTATACTTATTGTCTTTGTCATATTTTCTTCATTCTTCTCAGATCTTGTATCTACAGATAGCTATCTGATTAAATGCTTATTGAATTGTTTAAAAGATTGTTGTTTGATTTATCAGTTGCATATCTCATGTTGCTTGAGTTTGACTTAAAGTCTTTGAAAACTAGATAATACATTTATTTCTTGTTATAAATTTCACAGTTCACTCCTCCATCTTCTGAGGTATTGCATCTCTAACAGGCAGCAAATTGCCAAGATCTTCCAAGAATAAATTACTGATCCTCTTTTTTGAATATAAAAAAAGAGATATAAGTAATAATATCTTTAATCTGAACAGGCACTTTATCACAAAACACATAAAAAGAAGTAACTTCTTCTGTTTGAACAACCATAATCACTTATAGCTTATTTTTCATTAGCAGATTTAACATTTTGGTATACTTCCAAGACAACAAATTGATTTCTAAGCCAGTACTAATCAATGTCATTAATTCTTGTTGATTTATAGTGACTGGTGCATATAATAAACATATTTTATATGCTATTTTGGATTTTGACACCATGACATTGATATAAGTTGACTGGAATTGATCTTTAGCTCAGACTGAACTGGTTTGGAGACCTCAATCTTTGCATAGCTTTTACTAGTACTGTTATTCCAATCTGATCTGAAGAATACTTGATGAAGCTTTGGCAATACATCTATAAGCTTCTTGACTGACACTTCAATCTTTTTATTGAGAATTTGACTTATTAATTTATTGACATCTGTTGAATTATAAATCTGAGAGAATAAAAAATTTGTTGCAGAATATCTTGATCTTTGTTTCTTTATAAACTTGTTCTGAATTTCAAGCTTCTTCTGATTAATTAGTTTAATGTCTTCTATAATATTGTTATTAATACTAGCTTGATTATTCTGGTAAGTAATAAATTATTTAGTATGCTAAGTGTGGAGTGTTGCAATCTTAGTTTTTTAATTATTCTTAGATTTGCTAACAGTTCTGATATTAACTGATATTTGTTCTTCTAGTGATTTATATTTCTTATTTAAATCAGATTCTCTATCAGATATTAGATATGCAAGTCACTCTGCTTGAATCTTTATATTAGTTGAATTTGCTAGAGGTATCTCTTCTTACTGATTGATCTTCTTTTTAGAGCTTATCAACTCTAGAATCACCTATTTATCCTCTTCCATAAACTGTACAATATATATGTTCAGAATTTCAGATTTAAAAGTGACAACTTAATAGTTTTAATCAGAAGAACCCATGCATAAGTTCTCTTTATCATCAATATAGCAGTACTTATTATTCACATCAGATTAGTATTTATAACACTAAGATTGACCGTGTCCAGGTTTTCCATAGTAAAAGCATGAAAGATATGTTGAAATTTCTCCAGTTCAAGCTCCTTGCCTACTAGAATAATAGCTTGTCATTGGTAAACCATTTCAAGTCACATAAGGATTAACTAATTTTGATTAGGTATTCTCTTGTACTATTGCAAAATTAGTAGTCACATTTGTTGGATAATTTAGTATAAGTTTTGAAGGCTCTTTTCTCTGCAGTATATAGTACTGATGGGGATTTTCTTGAACCTTATTTGACTGTACTCTCATGATCAATGCTAAATTTGTAAACTTATTAAACATCTTTTCAATTGCAGCTTCAATATTAGTATTCTCAGAGCTCTTGGCTTTAGATTTCAATTCAGATTCTTTAGTCTTTGTGGAACTAGCTGTTTTTTTTAAAGCTTTAACTGTAGGGAGTTTGTTAGCTAATTAATATCATTCATCAAGCTTTTTTATTTCTTTCTGCTTTATTTCATCTTGTTTAAAGATCTTCTTATTCCCTTTATACTGGTTAATCAAATCTATAGTCACCTGAATGACTTTTCTAAAATCAGTAGGCAATATATTGTCCAAAAAATTGAGCTTTGCTTTGTCAATAATCTTATTCTGAAGCTTCTTAGGTAGCTTTTGAAGAAACTAAGACATCTTAGTAAATTCATCAATTCTTTTATTAGCTTGTACTGTACTAGTAATAGTAGTATATTCCTGAACATAGGTGTAAATGTTGCCATTTCAAGCATATGATTTTTTTGTAATTGCCTGAAGGTAATTCTGATGGTGAATCTTGTAAGTAATGTCTTAATTATGAAATTTATAAATAATTTCTTTAAAGAATACTTTTCAATTATTTTCTTTATAGTCTTTCAAGGTCTTCATTTATTCTTCAATTTATGTAACACAGTATCTAGTCAACTATTCAATAATATTCTTAAAGTCAATTATCTTATGATTCTTGCACATCTGATAAAATCTTTCAATAAACAGGGTAGCATCTCTGCTGTTATATCAAGATACATTTGCTGTACCAGGAGAAGATATAGAAATATGAGAATGAACTACCATTTTCTTATTCTCACTCTGTAACATAATTGCATATGATTCTGTAGTACCTTCAGCTATAGCTGGTTCTGATTCTGATTTCTTGATTTCTTGATCTTTGATCATGTTACACATTATATTCTGTTGTTTCTTAATGATTCAATATCTCTTTTAAAAACCTGTTTATTAAGCAAGCTTTAGATAAAAGTCATTCAAATCTAAGCCTTTTAATCTTATTTCTAAATGAAACTCTGATTAGTACTGTGTTCCTAGTTTATAAGATCTTATATTGAAATAGTGTTTTGCTTCATGTGTCTCAGAATTTGTTTTTTCTTAGCAGTTACCAAATCACTGCATCATCATCTTTATATCTCAGCTTGGTCACCAAATGAAGCAGGGTACAATAGAATATCTTGTCAAGATAGATGAATTAGTTGAGATGGTGAGAGTGCAGAAAAGGTGAAAAATCACAATATAGTAAAAATAGTAATGATTAAGTAGTAAGTGTAGAGATAGGTATGCTTTAATAGATATCTAAGCTTATAAGAAGAGATAGTAACAGTATAAAGTCTTGTACTAACACAGGCAGTTCTAAGAAATAGTAGCAAGCTTTATGAACAAGAGATATTCATATTCTCTAACTAATAACCAAACTAACAATAATAAATGAGCGTGTAGTAAAGTACAAAGATGCACAAAGATGATAAGTGAAATACAAAGGCTACAGACAGTTTATATAGCTCAGAAATAGTATCTTTGAGATGGTTTTGCACCTTGAACTAGAACAACCTTTGTTTTAATAAGGTACCAGAATCCTCACTACAATATGCATACTTAATGTGAAATAATATAATACTTATAAAGAAAATAATAGCTCTTAATAAATAAAAATATTATAAGTATTAAGATAAGATCTACATTATTTATAAATACTGGTGATAATACAATATCTGATAAACAAAATGAAAAATATTATAAATAGTTAAAATTTTATTCTTCTTAGATTAAGCTCTTAATATTATTTTATGCTAAGAATCTCAGATCAAGCTTCTCAATAACATGCTATACAAAAGATCTTGACACTATTCTGTCTTTAACTTAATATCTACTTTTTCTTTTAGTCTAGTATTATACACAAATATTGTATATATATTATATATATACTTGTCTATTATTTTTTTTCTTTCTTTCTCAAGTAATATATTTATATATATAGAGCTCTAGCTAGTAACTTTAGCTTGACTTATGATACTTATTCTACAAATATAAAATTCTAATATAATCAAAATAAGCTTAAAGGGAATAAATTACAGATTACTGTTAAATATTCCAGCTTTTAATAGAATTTTAGTATTAAATATACTACTGTACACGCTAATTTCCACACTAATTTTGCCTAGCAGCTGGATGAGGAGATAATAAGATTTTATAGAATAAAATACAAGACATAATTTTTTACTTGAAAACAAAATCAGAAAATAATTTACAAAATTAAAATAGAAATAACATCTGAAGCTCTTAAATAAAATAAAATACGGAATTAAGATTTTATATTTAGAATTTTATAAATTCAGGACTGAAACCAGTTTCAATAGAAAATAAAGGTCTATCCCAGTTCCAATTTTCAAATACCAGTTTAACCTACATACTAGTAAATTTTAAGTGAACTTCACATACCTTTGTATTTACTATTACTAGAATTATATTTTTATATCTTGGTATAATTTTTATTTTTATTAGAATTATTACTCTTTCTACTTTTATTAATTCTTTTACTTTTAGTATTTTTATCATTTATTTTTTTACATATAATTCTTATTCTTGTTTCTTTATCTTTATCAGACTTCTTATTTATAAACATCTGTCTGATTAAATATTTACCTCATAGTTTAAGTAATTATTATTTTTTAATATATTGTTTGCAATTTTTATATTGCTTAAGTTTGATTTAAAAATCTTTAAATATTAAATAATATGTTTGCTTTTCCAGGTGGCAAGTGGCTGGAAGATTGTTTTATTGAAATCATTGACTTTGGGTAAAATATTCATTACCTGGAAAAGGCCCCAGCCTTGACCGTTTGATGAACCAATTCTTTGAATACCACTTTAGCTGCTGAATTTCAAAATATTCATTCTTCGCCTCTAATTCAATACTACAGATGAATATACCTATAACATCAAGAAGTCAACTACTGGACTTACCCCAGTAACATGCGCCTTGGATCTTCAATGAACTCCTTGACCTGTATTGAAAGTTAGTTTGCCTACTTCAAACATCCAAGCTGCAAAGCAGCACTTACTCGAACTAAAAATGTGACAGCTTCTCTGCCGTCGAGGAGGCGGTGATCATAAGTCAAGGCAAGATACATCATCTATGACCAAATTAGCTATAATGACAAGCTTTTAACGTAATGATTTCGCTTACAGGTCTGATTTCAACTTTCCCATTGACTGCCACAGGCCTATTCTTTATTGCGTGAAGACCAAGAACTCCTACATTAGATGTTAAAGCAGTATTCTTCTGGTATCAGGGATTGCATCTGACCTGTTTGCGGAAGATTGATGATAGGAGTGCCCATTAATGAGCCAAAAACACCTCCCTGATCCTGGAATTAGTAACAAAAACTCAGAAGGTTTGACTTGCTTACATTGCTAATAGTGAAGGTGCCGCCAGCCATGTCCTCGATGGTCAATTTATTGTCTCGAGCCTGGACCTGGAATTAGCCTTCATTTGACAACTTTGGAGAACTCCCACAGCACCTTCTGCCCTAGATCAGCGATGGCCTTCTCGATCGTAGTAAGGTCCATGTTTTCGACATTTCGCACAACGGGGGTTACCAGGCCTTTCTCAGTTGCAACCGCAACGCTAATGTCAACATAGTCTCGGTATACAATTGTGTCTCCCCCATTTGGTCCCTCAATGGAGGCATTCACAGCCGGTACTTCCTTCATGGCCAATACACACGCGCGCGCGAACGCACTCATGAATCCAAGCTTGATACCGGTTTTCTTCAGGATGTCCTCTTTATATAACTTGCGGAATTCCATAAGCGATGACATATCAACTTCGTTGAAGGTTGTTAGAGATGCTGCAGTGTTTTGGGATTGCTTGAGACGCTCGGCAATTCGTAGTCGCATGCGGTTCATTTTTACCTAGTTCTGCTGTCAAAATCCTGCAATCATTACTCACAGCGAATTGACTTACTCTGCGCTCGTCTCTGTTGCCAACGCTCCCATGGGCGGCATTAGCCATTAGCTGGGATTCTTTTGGAGACTCTCGTTCTACTTTAGGAGCGGGCTTCTCCTCCTTTGGACTGGGCTGTTGCTGGGTAACCTGGGCCGACTCTCCCCTCTCTCTTCTGTTCGGTTGCTCCTGAGGTTGTTCCTCTCGCACTTTGAGCTCCGCGGATTGCGTGTTTTCCTGAAGTTTGTCCTTTCCGGAGCTCGGATTTTCTGTCGACGGTTGTAGTTTGACGAGGTCTTGACCAACAGTTACGGTGTCTTCTTCCTTTGCTAGAAATTCTTTGATTATCCCGGATTCCGGTGCATTCACGGTAACATCGATCTAGCGAGCTATTAGCCGCAGCTGCGGGTGACTCTATGCTTGAAACATGATGCTAGATACCTTGTCAGTTTCGATCGTGGCGAGCTCTTCATCCCGCTCTACGAAGTCCCCGATCTCTGTGCTTCTGAGTTAGCCTCCATTAAAATCCATACCATATATCACATGGAGCTCTTTCGATCGAGAGCTTTTAAATGAAGGAGGGCAGATTAAGCGTATGAAAACGCTAGCCACTTACGCTTTGAAAATTGTTTCAGGGTCCCATCTGAAATTGATTCCGCCATCTGAGGGACTTTAACGATGGTATCAGCTGCCAACATGTTAGAATTGGAATCTTCTCTAGGTATAGCCCTATACAACCGTAGAAGCGTAGCTGGCAACTATTTAATTGCGATGGAATTGGTCGCAAAATATTTCGCCTATTCAATGATTTTTAGAAGGTGGGATGTTTTTGCCGTTGAAAAGGGTATGCATAACTACCTTAAGCATTGCGAGGAACGCCAAAGTCCGGATTGGGAGAGATGTGAAGCTTTGCCGCTGTTTGAATATACCCTTGAGTATGAGAGTAACCGAATTTGACGCGACTGTTGCTGACAGGTCCTTTGTCTGAGCAATTGATTTGAGGTGCGCGAGATCGCAGGACTGAATTGAAGGCGAGGAGACATGCTTCTTAACATTGATGTGTAACCTTTCATCCACGTCGGCCGGATCCTGCTTGATAAGACGAGTGAGTTCTTGGGCTGGTTGGTGTTGAAGAAAATCTGTCTCGCGAGAGTTGAAGATCTCTCCCGAACCCAGCAAAACTGCCGGCTAAGTTCATACAATCGTTACGTAAACCTCCTCCGTGCTGTGAACTCCGTACGGCATACGGAGTGGATACATTGGTATTAAAACACATAAACCCGTTCAACTCTGTATTCTACAGGACACATGCTACTGGTGCTTGCTTCTCTCCAATTCTCCAGGATTGCGCGCTGTTTTTGATATGCCTTGAATAGACTGGGAATATAGCTGTGCAATACAAATTCCACTGTCAATTCAATTGTATGTATTTTACATTGTCGGGTGTTGCCGGCGAGGTATCCTGAACCGTTTGGTCACTCCCTAACTTAAATAACTCAGGTCGGTATCCCGTACTCCGTACTCTGTGCCGAGCGTGAAATAATTGACAAACTACTACTCTGTGGCTCCAGATTCCCGTAATTAAAAGGGTCCCCGATCATCGCCTGCATTGAATATTTATCCGTCATTGGCTTTTGTGAAGACACTGACCTCAATTAATAATTTTGCTACTGTCCGCCTTCCCACCTACATTATGTCTGCAAGACACACAGCTCTGTATGTACCTGAGGCACAGTGTTTTGTGGAATTTATGTTAACCTTCTCTAGGTCACTTTATCGACGTGCTTTAAAACTTTCACTTGATTGGGCTGTGCATCGACAGCTTTGGCGTGGCCAGGCAGTATATATTCGTTCTCTGTTTGATGCAAACAAGGACGTTCGAGATCCCCGCCAGCAAAGGGTAACCGTCTCCTTGATTGAATTCACTTTTTCCTGGCTGATATGCCCGTTCCTTCGACTAGGTTCTTTTTCAGGAAACAGAGAAGCTGCTGGAAAAATGGAAACATCCTGATCCATACCGCCCTCCGACTGCACCTGGTGGTAAGACTTCTGAACCTGGTATCTCTTGCGCACTTAGACCCCCCTAATCTGTTTCATACAGGGTCAAAATATGAGAGAAATCTCGAGGCACCTATCTTGAACCGTGAGTAGTAGAATCCATTGTCCTTGTAACAAGACTGACAGGATGAAAGCGCCCTTGTCTCAAAGTCAGGAAATGGCCCAACGCGTCGCTTCGCATCAGTATTGATCGCTTGAGAGAAGTGCAACTTTCCATGCAATAACAAGGACCGCTTGATCTTCCGTTTGGGAAGCTGTTTAATTTCAAAATGTTAAACCAATCTCTGTCCCGGGCGAACTTTCATGTTTCCTCTTTGAAATGATCATTTCCAAAGTATCAATAAGCTTTCAGCGAGAATGGAAAGAGATATAAGCAATTGACTTATTTTAAAATGCTACGATCCAGTGAATGTTTATGACAACAGCAGCACGTCCGTGCTGAGTTCTTTGGATGGCTCTCCGCTCAGCAGTGAGAACAAAAAGTCATCCATTGTAGAATTTCCGATTCCTTCGCAACTGAGCAAAGACGGAGATGATCGCGGCATCATTGACAAGTCCATCTTAGACATAATGTACACATAACCATTAAAACGAAAACACCATATCAACCAACCGTAACCCCATAGCCTCGCCCGAATTGATACCGCATGTCGACGCCAGATGAAAAATCACAAAACAAAACAAAACCACTTAAAGTTCTTGGCTTGGATTTTTACCGGTCTTTGGCGTTTTCTTGGGGAGAAGGTCTGCAGAGATGTTAGAAAGTGTTTGAATGCTGGGAGATTAATGCGAGCGTACTTTGATGGATATACGGCATAACGCCTCCTTGAGCAATTGTAACATGACCCAAGAGCTTGTTCAACTCTTCATCATTGCGGATAGCAAGTTGCAGGTGGCGCGGGATAATACGCGTTTTCTTGTTATCTCTGGCCGCATTTCCAGCTAATTCGAGAATCTCTGCAGCAAGATACTCCAATACAGCGGCTAAATAAACGGGCGCGCCTATTTTAACGATTAGCAACGAATTTCTAGTTCTCGGAAGGTCAAGAACATACCAGCACCGACACGTTGAGCATAATTGCCTTTTCGAAGAAGACGATGAACACGGCCGACTGGAAACGCGAGACCCGCTTTTGATGAACGCCTAGACTAGTCAATATTTATAACAATTTCGATATGGGTTGGGATCATATCGACATACGATTGAGAGCTCTTGGAGCCGCTTGCTTTACCGCCAGATTTGCCACCAGTCATTTTGTTGCCTTAGATTTTGGGTGCTGGATGTTGAATTAATTTTTTTTGTTGGCGACTTGGGATAGAACTGGGAATTGGATAAGAAACTGAAAGAGAATCAATTGAAATGGCTATGAAGAAAGATGGCATGAAGTGGTTTATATAATAATGCGCCCGGGAAAGTGTCGGCGTTCAGAAGCTTTCTCAAGATCAACTTACTTGGCTTTGATACTAATGAGGGTATCACAAATCAGGCCAATCACACACAGTCTTTGTTCTTGGCTTTTTGGGAACAATGTTGTCATGCTGTGCCCAATCAGGCAAGATTGGTGAGTTTTACACTTACAAAATGATACAAGGTTATTTAGTGTCATTTGAACACTTTCTTCTGCAAAGCTGATTGCTAATCATACAGATCATACAGTTTTGTTACCGTATCGAAATTCTGCTTCTTTCACCCACCTGAGATCAACCAACATTCTTGGTGACCTTATAAGTAGATCACCCTCCTCCCCACGTCAATGCTCATTCCTTTCCATCCTCCATACCACCCATTATCTCTTTACCGCAACAACAAGTGCTAATTCCTCGAAATTTATAATTCCGTTGAACTTAATCCCATTTCGATTCCTAATTTGTGATAATGGCCCCAAAAGCTGCTGAAAAGAAGCCAAGCACTGGCGGAAAGGCTCCCGCCGGCGGTAAAGCACCCGCTGAAAAAAAGGAAGCTGGCAAGAAAACGGCTGCTTCAGGCGAGAAGAAAAAGCGAACTAAGGCTCGGAAGGAAACGTATTCTTCATATATTTACAAAGGTGACTTACAATCATATTCCATTGTGGACGCCAATTGGCACTGACTCGCAGCTGTCTAGTCCTCAAACAAGTCCATCCGGACACTGGTATCTCTAACCGCGCAATGTCTATCCTAAATTCTTTTGTGAATGGTATGGTCATGACAACCAGTGAGTTGGCAAGGTTCTAACATTAGCAGATATCTTTGAACGCGTCGCCACTGAAGCATCAAAACTTGCTGCATATAACAAGAAGTCCACGATTTCTTCACGGGAAATCCAAACCTCGTACGTCTCTTCTGAATACAGATTTGTACTTTGCGCAGAAATTGACTTGGATTTTAGTGTGCGCCTAATTCTACCAGGAGAACTCGCCAAGCATGCTGTTTCTGAAGGCACCAAAGCTGTCACAAAATATTCTTCTTCTGCCAAATAGGCTTTCTTTTTCTCTCCCGGTCTACGTTTTACAGTTGCGCGAGGTGGGGTTGGGTGTTTGCGGTTTCTAGTATTTTGTGGGATGGGATGGCTTTCCTGGTTTTTTTCTTTTCCTTTCTTAATTGTCGATGGTACCATGGATTGAGATTCGCTTGTACAATAAGCGACAGGGAGACGAACCGGAATGATATGCTCTCCTTAGTTGCTAGGTTATGAATACAATATTTGATGTCACCACATTTTAAGCTCAGGACTAAGTTTGAGGACGAGATATAGGAACGCTGGCGAGTGAAAGGCGTGGGGAATGCCTGAAAGCTTGGTGACAGAGATATCGTTAATTGCTGTCATCATCAAGGGCTTCGACTTCGTCTACTGCTTCCTCTCTTTCTAAATGACGCCCAAAATTTGGCCGTTCCAAGTCAAAAATGTGGATGATCGGATTTCCCGTTACAGAACGAAGGCGTCTCTTCCAGTCTTTCCAGTCATCATCATCTTTGATGAGAAACCCAATTAACATGCTCGGATCCATTTCTCTGATATGGAGCCTTCGCAGCCGCCGAGTGTGATAAGTGTCGAGGTTCTCAGGTGACAAGGTAGAATCTGGATTCCATGAAACTGCAGGCCGGGTGTGATGGGGATCGAGGTAAAAGAAGTACGGGCCTTGCACTCCAATAAAATAAAGCGAGGATGATGGACGGCCACTAGTAAAGTATCAGCCTTATGCTACAAAATTTAAGCCCGAAGGTGCTGGAGTATACCCTGCAATTCCGACAGACTGAGGATATCGGATAATCGCCCTCAAAGCTTCCCAATACACGGGTGTGACACTTTCAATCCCCAGCCTCACTCCAAGCAATATAAGGGTTGGTCGTATCCCGTCTGGTCCAGCGATTTGGCGAAATTGATCTTCATGGACGTCGGAGCCATCGCTCATTACGTATACATTAAGGTCGGTATGCTTACATTCATTGGATAGCGCTCTGTGAACGGTGAGGATATTAACGTAGAATGCTTGATGGATATTTATAGCTTACTCAATACAGCGCGCAGTTGCGGAAGGGCCAAACCATTCCCCGGGATGTTTGCCACAGGCAGATGCCCCATAGTCAACAAACCTATGTATGGAGAATGGTGCCTGGGGATTATCGGCGAATAATGATAGCAATTCGCACTCCTCTTTTATTTTAGAACCTCGTCGCCAATCTAAACAGAGTTAGTCAAAGCTATCGCAAAGTGACGGGATACCTTGTACCTCGGCCTAGATTTAAGATTGAAAGAGCATTTGCTAGTAGGCTCTGTCCGGATCGAATCATACAGCCCCAACCTGTATCGGCGGTGAAGCCGTGAGTATCTAGGAACTGGCTTCGGAGTCGCACACTTAGCGTGAGAGCCAGAGGAGTATCGGGGTCCCTTGACTTGGGAATCGCCGGGAAATTGGATCGATACGTGAACCAAAACTTCGATTCAAAGTCATCAAGGAACGAGGTCGGCCATTCTCGAGACTTGGACCTTTGAATGCCTAGTTGATGTGGAGGAGTAGCTGGTTTACTGAGAGCTGCTTGGGTATCGCGCGATGATAACGACATCTGATTCATGGGTGACAAGAATGGCATGCCAGGCATATTGCAGCTTTCAGGAGCTTCGGCTCCTTCGCTGTCCCTTGGGATAGATGTCTTGTACTCCTTTCCTAAGCACCAAACAGGTTCAATAATGTCGTCATCATTCTTTGGCTCTGGGTCCCACAGATATTCAACAATCCTTTTGTATTTTTGACCAATATCAACAGTGTTCATTTTGGTTGATGGTAATCATGGGATGAAGATAATCAAAGTAGCCCAATGTCAGAAGCATGGGGAGAATCCATAAACCTTAGTAGACGATTTTTCAGCCTTCCACATCCGTCAGAACATAGGACCAACCATTAGAAATACAACAGCATAGCCAGCAGACTCTGTTTCAACAGTTAAATTTTTGTATTTAGATAAGTTTGCGCTGAAGAAGTTACCCAGGCAGTGATGTTAACCAACAAGGCTGCCAAGTTGTTAGCAATGGCTATTAAGCCATTGGTGTTGAAGGGCATCACGATTTCCTGGACACAGCAGCTAAAATGTAATAGGATTAGTGGAGCCACACAACTCCATACGAGTACTCCCCTTTTCGCCAGCTCTGGCATCAAAGTTCACCACCTATCCGTATTCCCTTCTGTAATAACTAGTTCGCCATATCCTTAGCTTTCTTTCCCTAAGAGAGTTTCGACTGCAACCGGGTGTATATGATACAACTTTTCTCTAGCATGGAAAACAAGTCTCAAGAACAGGCTGTTGATCCTGACGTGGACAATATGATTCTCGACTATCTGCTATGCATGGCAATTCGAGCAGTGATAAATGAGCGTGTTATTCAGAGGACGGAAGGCCATTCGCATAAAGATGCCGAGCACCTTCTGAACATAGTTGATGGTTGGTCTATTTTACCTCCTGATATCACTTTGGCAAATCAATTACCTTCTGGAACTCCACCTTCATCGTTTCGGTTGTCGAGTTTCCTGACTAACCTTACCTTCTACTAGTTTTCTTTTCACTATTCAAAATCAACCATCCAGACCAGAAACTGACTGACGACATCGCACTCAAATTTCAAGTTCTTACTTTTGCGAACCTCTTCTTACGTCGATATCGAGATTCTGTATACCTGCCTTCCCGTAAAACACTTCAGAAACGACGTATAACAAATAGAAAGAGGGCAAAATTATGGGTTGAGCGGAATAAAGCCGTCATGTCGCAGGGCCGGAATAACTTGTATACATTCGGCAACGGTTTCTCGCTTGATAAAAACTACAAGGACATGCGTGAGCACATGGGACTGCCACCTGACAATAGTATGGATTGGAACTCCCGTGTGTCTTTATTGGATATCCTCCCTGAGTATATGGCGCTGGGCGATGTCATCCCTTCCGTACTTCGGCAGACGTGGATGGAGAACGCCATTCTACTGATGCTACAATGTGCGCTAGAACAGGTGCTCGTTTATGGAGAAACAGAAGCAGAGAAGATAGACGAAGCCTTTGCTTGGGATTGGCCATACAGCCACAATTGGCTTGGGAATGGAACAGAGAAGGCAGCCTGGACAACGTCGCGAGATGTCATGAGATGCTCCTTGATTCCTTCGGGAACATCCACCAGTGAAGTCAATCTCAAGCGGCTTTCATTCAAATACCCTCTGTTCGAAGTTGAGGGTGCTATCTTAGATTCATTGAACGATCTACTCAACATGCTGGAGATCCCAATTCTGCAACGGCTGGGATTAGGAACTGCATCGGAGTTGAATGTCATGGACGTGACAGGCGAATAAGCTTGCGCGGATTTTGAAAGTAGTCGAAATACAACCCATGCGAAACATTTAGAAGACGCTGTTACTGACAACATGAAACGGTATGGACTAGCATCTAGTCGTCGGGATACTCATCTTGTATATTACTTACAAACCGATGCATTCCAGGGTCCCAGCGCTTGAAATACTTCCCCAGGGATTCCACAAATTGTTGAGGCATTTGTGAGATATCAAGCACCACCGGCTCAATATTTTCCTCAGCCACATATCGAACGCTTTTATCCTCAACGCTTGACCCAAAATCATTAGCAGTGAGATATGGAGCACAATGACAAGACACGTACCAAACATGATAAAAGCTTTGGTGTCTCCCAGCTCGGAGTCGATCAATACCCATTTGCTGCATCCATTCCTCTCGCGCGCCACATTCCGGGTCCCATCCTATTATTACGGCTACATAATTGTATCGGCGGTGCCGAAATACCTGACCGACTCGATATTTTATATTCGTGTGATCCGAAGTGCTCCGAATTTGTTTGGGGATTTCATCCCCAGCTTTCATAACGCGTGTACCTTCCTTTAGTTGGTCATATTCAGGAAGGCCGTGGAAAATGGGCGCTAAATATTCTTCAACAAGATAAACGTCAAAGGGGAAGTTTGCCGCAAAGTGTTCCATCAAAGAAGGCAGGTGATGGCGGAGCGGTGTGTGTAGCCGCAGCTCTTGGCCCGGATGCCTTTCTATCCTCGCATAATCGGCAAAAAGCATCAATGCCCACAGAGCTGCATATTCGACATTGGCGAGGTCAAGCGAGGTACAGCGGAAGAGTGATGTCTGCGTCACGGAATTGAGGATATTTTTGCCACACCGCAAAATTATTTCGCCAGTCAGGGATTCTCGAAGAAATGATGAATGGGATAAAGCTAAAGGCCCTAAAAAATCCAGCTGACTCTCAAGATCCGACATCGGTGTCTCTTGAACGGAACGGAATGGGTCCATGAACATAGGCTGCCCTTGCTCTGCATCCTTAAGGCGTTTGCCGTCCAAGTCGTATCCAGCTTCCGGGCGGACGATGACATGGACATGAAATGGAAAGCCGCATGGATGGGCATTCAAGCCCAGCTTCTTCGCAATATAGCAATAGATAACTGCGGAGATAAGAGGAAGTGAATTATGGCGGTTATCTCTCAATGCAATCCCGAGAAAATTATGTTCGATGGTATAATACTCCCTTTCCGGGTCAATTCCAGTTAGATTATTGTCTTGCAGATACACCGCAATGCTCACAGCTTTCTCTCGTGGGCTGAGGTCCCGGAAAGTACGAAAGTCGGCCTCGATCCGGGTAGCAATATTTTCCAAATTTTGTGATATCTTTTCAAGTTAGCTAAATCCACGAAGTTGAGCTGATAAGCGCGTACATCCTCTAAATCCCCTGTCCCCGCCTCAAGCACAAACAAATCGAAAGCTCCAAGGGCGCGTTCGAGTGGGATGTCTTCACCATTTCTTACTCGACTCCATTCTGATATTGCTATGCTGCGATGGAGACAGCCCAAAGCGGCATTACTATAATAACTTTCTGGATTGTTAGCGACACACCAAAGCAGGACTGTGTAGAGTGATAAACCAAACTGTCCGTGAACGCACCGTCGGGCTAAGTGGTCCTGATATTCAAAGCCAGCTTCCGCATGGCGTAATAGTGTGTCCTTTGCATCATACCCAAAGCTGATAATCTTGTGGAATTTTTCAATCCGACCAGTTTGGCATGCAAGTATACTTTCTAGCAATTCGGTAACAGCAACATCGATTAAATGTCTTAACTTGTAAAGTTCTTTCCAATCAACTAGAGACACCGGCAGGGCAAACTTTTCCAGTATACAATGGCGGTCGTCCCAATATTCGAAATATTGTCGGCAGTAGAACCGCCAAAGTAGAGAAGTGTTGGTGATGCTCCAAAATTTCTTTGATGCTTGCCCTAATTTCACAGCTGATATGGGTGTGGCACAGGCAAGGATGCACTGAATAATTTCATCTGGGAAGCTATTTAAAAGCCCATTCGTCATTATGTTTGCATAGGGAGATAGGATGCTTTTATCAAATGTGGTAGTGCACTTTGTGAGCCCACAAAACAGAGGAGTTAACAAATGTGTTTCATCTATGGAATACGGAGTACTCTGTAGATCAATCAATTCCTGAAGTAGAGTTTCTTGGGCACCACATTCATACCCTTTTTCACTCCATAGGCTCCCGTCCTTGACATGCTTCTTTACCATGTGCTCTCATGCTTAATCATCAGCACTTGATCTGGAGGTTGCGATTTGCTCTTGGCTTTTTTGCCACCTTGTAATAAATACTTGACATTTTATTTCCTAGATACTCTGTAAATTTGTACAAAGTACCCCGTACTCCATAGTTCTTAGGAAAATGCTTGCCCAAAAGCACCACAAGCAGATTGCCAAACATTAAAAGATATCACTATTCAGGGAGTAGTGTGATCCTTAAAATTGGAATTCTAATGTGTGAAGGGGAGTATTTTTGTAAATATGTACCAGAATTGGAATCTATTATTGTACTCTACGGAGTCCTCTGCTGTGAATATTGTTGAATTGTGGGTCACTACTCCGTACTCTGTAGAGATAGCTGGAAGGCTTGGTGTGGTTATGGATATGCTTGGGATCGCTTCAAACTTGGAACACGAAGTCCGAATATTTGTAGTATTCTCAAGAACATCCTGTTTCTCATATAGCTTCTATGCTTTTGTCTTATAGTAGTAAAGCCATTCAATCCCTTTGTTTGTGCATAATTGACATTGTCAAGGCGGTGGCGTATCTCTCGCCAAATGTTCAATTAGCCCCTTTCGAGCTAACGCACGAAGCCAGCTGTAGACTGCCGGGCCGTAATCATGCCGCTTTTTTTCTGCATAAGTATTATCCGCCTCGCGTACTTGCTGTTCTTCTTTAATCGCCACACATATTTCCTTCTGGGCATCGATAAGTGTTTTCTGAGCTTCTAGCAGACGCTCCTTCGACATGTTGGTATAGCTTTGCATATCGATTTCGGACACAACCGCCTTTTCTAAGGTGGACGATGTCAGATTGAATGACGGATCGGGGCCGGTCACAATGGCATTGTCAAGGGAACCAAAGCCTTGAATATCGGGCAAATTGCATAGTAACTCATCGATAAAGACCAATCTTTTCACATTCATCGCGAGTTGATCAACTAGGCCAATCATTGGATCTTTGGCTAAACTGAGAATCGAGAATTCAATTTGGCCTTCCTCATACTCAGCCATTCTCGATTGGATTTCGGGTTTAGCAAGTTCCAGCCAGTCCTCGTCGGAATAGTCTCCTTCAAAATCTCAGCCAGGAAAATGTATCGGCACACCAGGCATCAGACTTACCAAGATTTTGAGGTTGGCGCTCTAATCCATCGAATTTCCATACCTTCCCCCTTGCGGGTACAAAGGCAATGAAATGGAACCCTGCCTCTGATTCATCAAAGCCTTGGTCCTTTCTGCAAAGCTTGGATCTTTTCTTAGACGCATCATTTTTGAGTTGGAGGTCAACATTTAGAATGTCCATTTTCCTGGTCCCTTTTCAGTAACAGGATGGGGGAGCGGTAGTATGGAAGGTGTACCTTGCAAACGAGTTGTGTATTTCCTTAATGAATGCAAAATTCCTTATAGCATCACCGCGCAGCGCTGGAGTGAAATCCATTGTGAATTCTTTGAAGGAACGGAGCTCCTCATCAAGTTCTACTCCTTCAATATTATTGATAATATTGAGCAGTGCAACACTAGCACAGGCATAATTCACTGTCTAAGGATGTGGTATAAATCAGTATTTTGCAGGTACACTCTTGGGTGCTACATATCATACCTGATTTGCAAACCACAGACCTTCAGGACAACTTTGTTCTTGTTTTACTGGATCATCCTCTCGCCAACGGAACAAAAATACTAGTCCATAGATGGGTCTGCTTTACCTGGGGTTAGCTAGAATATCTGGGAGGAATTGCTGTGGTATGTTCTTCTGTGCTTACTGTAAAAATTGCAGCATATCATTGTCAAGAGAGACGACTTCCTGGACTTTGACACCTTTCACACCCCAGTCCCTTAGCATAACATTGAAAAGGGCCTAATATCTCATGTGAGCGCTAATTATAACATATCATATCAATCCACTGACTGGTTCGGATTCAATCTCGCAAAATCCATGCCACAAGGGCTTGTGAAGCTGCCCGGATGATGAAATAGGGCCACCAAATATAGTGTAATTTGGGGTTCTAGATTCTCTAGAGTAAAGGCAATGATGTTTTGGGCAGTCTGCCATTATGACAAAGCTCTTCAAAACGAACCTGGAGGGTGGTTTAGTTAGCCATTAAAAAGTACTCACTTAGGGGTTAGTTTTTTAAAACTACCTTTTGGGAGATGAACAACTTCTACAATTAAATAACTAATGCTAGGGATGGAGCCCTGGGTTTTGTCAAGAAAACAAGTGCTGATTTTGGATACAGATTTATGATCCTCCGTCACTAGTTACCTAGTTACTGAGTACCGCTCACAAAGTGGTTAATTTGGCAACCACAGGAGAAAAACAGGTGTCCTGGATACTGTACTTGCATGTTTGCTGCATTTGCAGTACAACAGAGTACAGCTTATGCCTGTATATAAATACTCTGTACGGAGTACCTTGAGCTATGAAGGAATGATGGTGCGGTTGCATTATTGACTTGTGACTCTGCTGGGTAGTTAGCACCGAGCCGGCCACACCACCGAAGACTACCTCATATCGTCGGGACCTAATTTTTGAAATATCTCCACAACCATCTTCCTATCCAGCTCACATTGTGGCTCAATCTGCTTGCCAGAGCTCAAGATATCACTTAATATCAAGAAAAGCATGGCAAGCAGCCAAACTGTCTCCTGGATGGGCCTGCAGCTTTAAAGTATATATAACCATACAATTCAAATACAAGCAGATATCAAAGCTATTAAGGAATTCTGATTAAATATACTAGACAAGAACAGAAATCTAACATAAAATATAATAAAAGCTCTACTAGATAGTATAGAGCTGTATATAGAGAAGATTAGAGATATATTAATGACAAAAGAGCTAGCAGCTGAGATCAATGCAATAAGAAAGATATAGAATAAGATGAGAAAAAATATAATTTAAATTAAAAATATACTATCAGCTTTAAATAACAAGATATTAATCTAAATATATGCACAAGTGTTTAAGAATCTTCAGATAATAATATTTACTCTTAAACTATAATCTGTGAGAACTGCAACTCTTCTGATAGAGCTGGTAGATGTTGTATTGACTGGAGTCTCCTGGGGTCCTTTGGGGCTTGAAGGGTGTCAAAGGGCTTTAGGAGAATAACAACAGATTGGGTAGTGATCAATAGTCCAATGGTGCTCTGGTTGAGTGGGCAGTCTTGCTCTGATAATAAAGGGTTTCTGTGCAGGTATATCAGAGTCAGAGCAAGACTATCATGCTTTCTCAAGAGTAGTGAAATCAGATACAATTATACAGTATCACAAGACTTCAGTAGTATAGAAAGTAATTAAGATATGAAGATATCTGATTCAAAGATATCTGTAAGATAAGTAGGAAAGTTAATTATAATGAACAAGTCTATCAGATCTCTGATAATAAGTATTCTTATATATATAATGCTTTCTGATGATAGTTCTGCTAAGCTATTCTATTCATTCTATTATAGTATGCTTGCTACATTTTTTAATTAGTTCTATTGTGCTTAGTGTAATCAGTCAGCTTATCAGTTCTATTGCTAATTATATAATTTTCTATTTTAAGATTTCTTTACAACAGTCTGTAACTTCATCTTGTCAGATTTTATTTAATTATTTTGTATCTTTGGCTGCTGTGCTGCAAGATTTATAATATTATTCTCTTTTTTTACAGTGTGTTGTTCTCAACTACTCTGCTTCTTATCTCTAAGATATAAAAAAGTAATCTTTTATTCTTTTTTGAGCTTCTGAATTTTTCTCTTGTTTCTTGTTTTTAGTAAGTATTCTTATAGTTTCTTTTCACTATATTATCTACTTCTAATATTTTGCAAGAATAATCTTCTTTTTATTATTGAGTGATTCAGATTTATTATACTCTCTCTCTGCTTTTGATGTTCTTTACTGAATAAGACTTATCTAAAGTCAAGTCATTTTTCTTGATATAATAAGTGTGTTTGCACTAATTGTCATTATATTCATGATAATAATTCTTCTACTGTTGATTAACAGAAGTTATTTGAAACTTAGAATAAGCTTAAGTATATTAAGTAAGAAACTTTTTCTTATCTTCTTCATCTTCAAAAGCAGAAAAAGTTACTCTGTAATTAAGCTAATAAATTTCTTGAGTTCAAATCAAAGTTTATAAAAGATCTGAAATATCTTAAGAAGAAGAAATAAAAAAGAGTAGCTGAGCAGATAAAGATTCAAAACTTGCTTGCTTTATTAAATAATCTCTCTTTCTTAAATTCTCTTCTGATTGTTTCCAATTCATTCATTAATACTTTGCTGAGTGAAAATGTTGTTGGTAATATATCATAATAATTGTTCAGATGTTTCTGAGATTTTCTGTTGGTTTTCAGATGTTTTCTGAGATATTACATTCTTTTTATTTCACTAAGTAGTGAAGTTTTCTGCTAATCTTCTGATGATCTAGTATTTGTTTAACTTTATATTCTTGTTCTTCATCAATCTCTGTAAGCATTTCTCTAGTATATAGTGATGCTTTTTCCAATAATAAAACATGAAATACCAGATATATTCTTATCTTTTTGAATAGCTGGAGTTTGTAGTTGACTTTTCCAATCTGCTTTGTGATTTTGTATGATTCTAATTTCTTGAAATTAAGTTTTTTACTTGGTTTTTTAATTTTAATATTCCATCAAATTAGAAATACTTTTTCCCCCTCTTTCAGGATTGGTGCCTTCTAGCACCTTCTGTTGTAGTAGTGTTTCATTTTCTTGTTCAGGAATTTGATATCCAGTTTCATCTGGTTCTGCAGTTCTTGTAGTTGTATTAAGTCTTTTGTTATGTAATTCTTGGTTGCTTCTGTATTTCTGGTTCTCTGCTGTAGTTCATGTAGAATGATATCATTCTCATAGTAGTATTCTTCACTCTATTGTATGCTAATTGTGCCATAAGTAGTAGTGAAACTCAATTGTTCTGCTGGTAGTTAACATATTCTTACAGATATTGCTTCAAGATTTGGTTCAGTTGCTCTGTCTGTTCCTCTGTTTGTGGGTGATAGACTGTTGATATTTTTTGTTCAATTTCTAGTTGTGCTATTAGTGTTATCCAGAATTTGCTTGTGAATCTGATGTCTCAGTCTGTAATTATCTCTTCTGGCATTCCATGATTGGCAAGCACATTTTGTACTACTATTAGTGCTGTGTCTGATGCTGTTGTTGCTTTTCTAAATAATATGAAGTATCTGTACTTTGTCAATCTGTTGATAATTACTAGTATTGAGTCATACTTCTTCCCTTTTATATTCTTTGAATTTAAAAGTTTTATAATGAAATCCATTGCTATGAATCTTTATACTTCTCACAGTTGTAATATTAGCTGTAGTTTTCTGTATAGTTGGTGTTTGTTAGCTTTGCTTTATGCATATATCTCACATTCTTTAATATGTTGTTGAATATCTGTCCACATTTCTGGCCAATAGTAGGTCTTTATAATTCTTTCTATTATTATATTGATCTTAAAGTGTTCTGCAGTGATTGTATTATATTCTTGTATTATTACTTGCTTTCTGACCTTTCTGAGTATATATATCAGTCTATAATATAGTATTATTCTGTCTTCTTTCTTGAAGTTTTTGTTTTTATTGTTAATCTTTTTTATATATTCATCTTTCTGTATTACTTCTCTAATCTTTTTTTTAATGTTCAATTCTTTTGTAGTGATTCTTGTTACTCTTAATATCTGTCAGTTCAGAACTATATTTTTTATTTCTTTCAACTTTTTAAAGAGTGTTCTTGAATCTTGTTCTTTTCTTATAAGATCTGGTCTTCAGCTTAATGCATCTACTCAAATATTTTCTGTGCCTTTGCAGTATCATATTTTAAAATTATAGTGTATCAGTATATCTGTATATTACTTGGCTTGTTGTCTTGTAAGCTTTTTGATTATTATAAAGTATTACAGATTATTATGGTCTGAGATAATTTCTGTCTGATATTGATTTTCTTGTAGTTCAATCTTTTATTTTTTCAGTAATGCCACTATTGCAAGTAGTTTCTTGTCATGAATATTATAGTTTTGTTCAGCTGGTGTTATTATTCTTGTATAGTATGTAACTAGTTATAATCTTTCTTGCTTATTCAGTTGCTGCAATCTCTCTACTATCACACAGTCTGATGCATCTGTGTCAATCATATATCTTTTTATTAGATTATAGTGTTATCTCATTTCTTCTTTTCTGAATTTATTTTTTATTGCTTCAAATACTTGTTGACACTCTGTTATTTATTTAAATACTTTATCTTTCTTAAATAGCTGTATAAGTGGTCTTGCTTCTTTTGAAAATCCATGTATGAACTATCAGTAGTAATTTACTAGTTTGTAGAACATCTGAACTTCTTTGACTTTCTTTAATATTAGCTATTGTAGTATCTTGTTAATTTTTTCTAGTTCTATTTGTATTTCTTCTGTTAACATAATGTGTTCAAGGTATTTAATTTCTTTCTTGAAGAAATTACACTTCTTTATCTTTGCTGGTAGATTGTATTTTTATAGCTTTTTTAGTATCTTCTTAACTTTTCCAGTGTGATTCTTTCAGTCTTCTTTGGTGAATATAATCACATTATCAAGATATGCAATGATAAAATTATCTAGATATTCTTGCAATACATTATTGATGAGTGCTTGAAACATTGCCAGTGCATTTGTTAATTCAAACAGTATAACATTGTATTTATACAGTCTATACTGTGTTCTGAATGCTGTTTTCCATTTGTTGCCTTCTTTAATTCATATCTGATGGTAGATATTTTTGATGTTAATTAAAGTAAACCATGTTACTCTTCTCAATCTGTCTTGTACTTCTTTAATCAGTAGTATTAAGTAGCAGTTCTTGACCATGATGTTGTTCAACTGTCTGTAATCCACATATAGTCATAAGGTTTCATCTTTCTTTAATGTAAATAGTATTGAATATTCTGCTAGTAATATTAACTTTCTGATGTAATCTTTTTTAAGATTATCTTTAATGTATTTCTTTACTTTAGCTGATTCTTTCTTATTTAATCTGTATATTGATAGTTTTGCTAGTTATTTTCTGTTTTGTAG